GGCGGGATGGAAGCCACTCCTGGGACTGTCAGCTAAAATCCATGTACAGAGCAGTCCAAAGGACAGCAGTGGAAATCCTACCAGAGAGCAGACCGTGTTTGCAGAAATCCAGCACCCCAAATCCCCTCCAGGACGTGGAGGTTTTGTGGCTGCTCTTTCCCAGGCCAAGTTAAACCACAGCGGACTCTGCTCTTACCCTGGCTTGGGCTTACTGCCTGAGAGTGCAGATGGCCTTTGCCCATGTACAGTGGATAACTATAATTTTATGTAAGTTATGTGAATTTCATTTAGAATTCCCCCCCAGAACATTGTTCAAGAAGGTCTTGGAAGTGTAATTTCATACTAGTATCTGCAGTTGTGAACCACAGCCTCAGGCAGTAAGATAATTTCCTGGTATCTAGGCAATGGAGTTTATGTATAGAACTGCTTCCTGCAGCTTCAAGGACTTGCTCTTCTGATAGTTGTCTTTCGAATTTCTACATCATGCTTGTGAAACAGGGAATTTGTTCATAAATTAGGAACCTGTGGTTGTAACATGAGATAATACGGAGATGTGTCGACTTCAGCGTTTTTGATATTTCTGGCAATTGAAAACTAATTGCTTATCAGAAATGTTCATCAGCAAGTTCCTAAGTAAATATTGAAGTTTTACGTTAAAGAAGCTTGCTGCTTCACTGACTTCAATTGTAAAGTAGCTGGGAGGGACGGACTCCCCCTTCCTACACTGTCAAGTTAGGGAATTGTAAAATTAAGGTGCTTTTTTTAGCACAATTCCATAAGACATGCATGTCCAGATGCGATATTAACTTCTCATTTGCATTTGCAGTTCAGTGTGCGTAGGAGCCTCCAAAAATGAAGTCTTCCGTGAGAATTAACTTAGAGTAATATAAAGTAATAAAAATGGATTGCGGCACCTTCTCAGTTGTCTTCTGAAAATTTATAAATAAATAACTGCTGTAATGGGTATCAGTATCTTCTCGAGGTTTCCTTTCCCCCCCTTTACATTTCGTTACAACAATCGGCTTCACAATGACTCATTGCCTTCGTTAGGAGCGGGAAGACATCCCTCATTATTCATTACTAAAGGAAGGACTTTGCTGCTGCAAAGAACAGCCATGGCATTCTAATTCAGCTACCTTTCAAGAGAAAGGAGTCAATGTCATTCTTCCCCAAACTTTGCCAAAAGAGACAAGAAATAATGCTGTTTAATTGTCTCCGTTTATAAATAGCCCATTCACAATGAGAGAATTGTGGTTTTAATACTGCAGTCAGGAGGAAAAGATGATACACATTCTTCTACATTTGTATCTGAATTTCATTTCTGGGAGCTCGCTCTGACACTTTCAAAACTGTAAATGATCATATATATGTGAAATGCATTTACTTATTTACAGTTTATTGTATGACTTTTTAATTACAGAGTACTCTGGATGTATTACATACACACAAAGCGTTTACTGTTTAAGTAATCCAAGGATATATTTGATTTCAAAGGGAGTAGGCGCGACTGTATTAAAATAATTGTTTTTCTTGATTTTTACTAATAGAAATGTTCCTTGTCTCTTTTTCCATTCCTTTTTTCAGATTTATTTACTTAGATATTAAAGGATTGAGCTTGTATTATGTTTTTACTGTATTTTAATGCGGTTTTTTATTAAGCTCTACAGCATGGACCATGCCTCTTTATAAATAAAGCTATGATCATGTATTACTAGAAACCCCATTTCAAACTGTACTTTTGCCAGACTTCGTTAAGATTTTCTAGGAAGGGACATTATAATTATGTGATTAATCTTCAGAAAAGGGAAATTTTGGCTCTGCAGTATTTCTTACTGTATTAACTTCAGAGATTTATAAAACCAACTTGAAACTGCACTGTAAGTGTGTTTATAATGACTTTCGGCTGATTTAATAATCCTCGAAGTTCGGTGACTGTACAGATCACAGCTTCACAAATACAGTCCATTACCTGTAGCATCCAGATGAAGTTATCAGAGGTGGAGGAAATTACTTGGGATTGTGTTTCTCCTTAGCGATGCACTAATCCGACCTCTGGCTGAGGCTGGGGCTCTCAGAGCCCTTCTCTGCCTTTATCCCATTATGCAGTGGGGACATGTGCATGGATGATAAAGAACATCTTCACGTTCAAAGCCCAGCTAGGGCGTGTGTCTACCATCAAATCTTGGTGGCGCAGTTGTAAGGCACCCGGTGTGGTAATGTTGTCAGGAAAATTTTTGAGCCAGCCTGTGATTCATTTTTTCTCCTGTTAGTATCTACGGCGTGTTACTGCTAGTGCCACTCCCTGCAGCTGGCAGTGCTTAATGTCTCTCTTCCTTCGTGATCCTGCAAACCTTTTGCAATCCAAGGAGCCCTTGATCATGCAAATAGCTCTGCTAATTGCAGGTATTGGTACTGTCTTATCCCAGTGGAGTAAGAGCCTCTCGGATGAGTAATGGTGTGCAGGATCAAATCCTCACATTTATACATGATGAGTCATGGCACAAGGTTGTTTTTAAAAGTCACCAGTTAAAACCAGTTGAAACAATGCCAGAAACCTCATGCTAAGCTTTCTAGCTGTGTGCTTCTTTCAGTGTTTCCGAGCTTTGCTTTTCATAATAATAAATATCAAACAGCAAGCCTGGGAATCACTGGGAGCTGGATTGGCAGGTCTCAGTCTCCAGTTAACATGCAAACGATCAGCCTGTGCCCACATACGGCCGCTTGCTAGATCAGAACTCGGTGCATTAACACGGAACTCAGAGAGCTTTGGGTGGAAGTGGGTTATGTGCGTAATAACCCAGAGCACGGTGCTTTAAGCCAGGAAGTGAAGAACACACGGCATAGAACTGAATTTATGTGCGTTCAAGAATCCAAATACCAGACATGTTTTTGCAGAACCCTGATTTTTCTTTTTTTTTTGGTCTTCCAATTCACAACAGTTAAGTAAGTAATCAGGCTTCAACCAACTGCGTATTTCCAGACCAGTTATCTGAGATATTTTGTGACTTTAAAGCAATTCCTGACCTTCATCTCTCAGATGACATGCAGAGATTCTTTAATGGTGCTAAGGACTGAACAGGAGCCCAACACCTACAGAATTCACCTCACTGGCATTGTCTTAATTTTCACTTTATTAAGCAGATAAAAGGATAGCTATTTCCTTTCCAGGCTCCCTTGTTTGCTTTGTGATGTACGTGAGGTATCAGCCCAGCCAAACATTTCTTTGATCAATGAGGAGAGCAAGCTGCGTGAAACCTAACGTGTGCCTTTACGTCTTCAGGCATCCACTGTGACAATATATGTACCCAGGGCCGCTGGGGACCCAACTGCTCCATCTCCTGTAACTGTGAGAACGGGGGATCCTGCTCCCCGGAGGACGGCACCTGTGACTGCGCACCAGGATACAGAGGACCCTTGTGCCAGAGAAGTAAGGTTTTCCATAGATGTGGTGGTAGAAGCAAAGCAGGTAGAAACGCTCATTTGTGACGCCAGACGGAGCCACAGGTTTCCGAGCTGCTTTAGCTCGTGACTTCCTAAGGGCAACAGCTAGCCTAAAAAAATGCTTCTTGATCAAGAAGTCAAGACTCTACTGCATTGAGTCGTGCCTTGAGTTTCTTCTTCTGGCTGTCCACAGTGCCTGGAGGTCACAGGTGACCTGAAAGAAGGAGCAACACCTTTACATACCGAACTTGGCAGGATCTGGGCAAAAACAGATTTCCAGTTAAGTCGTGGTGAACTATAGGATACCTGTGAAACAGAGTCAGCTACGACCCGTCACGTAATGACAGGTGGATGCGCGTTGGCTATCAAAATAACGAGAGAATGTTTTCTTATATGCCAGAAAAAGAAACACGGCAGCCTGAAATAGCTCCTGTCTGATGCTCTGCCGCTACGTATTAAAATGTGCCGAGGAGATAAAAATCCTCTCATTTGCTGTATCTGGGAAGCTGCGTTTGCCCCTTCGGGATCCTTATTCACTGAACCAAACTACACGCAACCATCCTTCTGTGTAAACAAGAAATGGATTTGTCTCTCTTTTCTGCAGCAGCTCTTGTTCTTCCTGTAAGACATTCTGCATGCCCAGTTCATATAACCCCTTTGATTTCACCAGTTACACTTGACACTAGAACACACTCATCTCTAAAAATAATTTGTAGCTGACAGTTTTTATTTAAAGCCATTATAACGATGACCTCTAGCACTGCTGTAGTTAATGGCCTATAAGCATTTCCATTATAAACCCCAATCTCCAGGTGCTCCAGCATATCTATATAGCTGTAAAACCTCTCTCCAAGGCTAAAATGTGGTGCTCAGAGCTTCAGGGAATTGGGGAAGAATTTTTTTTTACGAATTTGAAAGCCTAAGAGTGCAAAACTTCCAGAAGTTAATAGTTTCTGACCTTTCTGAGATGAAAAAAGCCAGCTTAGTTTTATCAGCTGATGGCATGAAGGCTACAAGAGGCAAACCATGTCCCCAGTTTGCAACTCCAGTAATCAGGCTGCTCCCTGAAGACGTTTGCGAAGGACCTGATGGGGAGGAATTTTCCTCCGCACTGGGGTGACAGCAGAGGGGTCCTGTGGATGCTTCTGCTCTTGCCTCGGGTAGCTGAAATGCCTCTCTGTGAATATACGGCCGGGGAATTCAGCTTGCTTCCACCTCTCCTGCAGGAGTCAGGTTCAAGACTACCTTGTGAAGAGGACACTTCTGTAGGTGAAGGTAGCTTTAGCTTGCTACGTTTGCTCTCAGAGTCATTCCCATTTTTCTCTTGGAAATTCGTTTAAAAACAGAATTTAGCCTGTAAAGGGCAGTCCTGAAGATGATACTCAGCCAGCTTGTTCTGTCTGTGTAATCAGGATTACATGAGATGCTGGGATAGTTTACTGCTCTTAGACCTGCAGAAATGTCTCCAGGAATGATCCAGGTTGTTTTATAGCTAGTGCATCATCAACAAACCTGTCAGCTAAGTTCCAGCTGGAAATCTGCAGTGGTGTAAGAACCTGACACCCTCTGTGAACATAAGGACCAAGAGAAAAATTCTCATTCAGTGAAAAAATAGAACGGACATGATATAGTAACCACTGAGCCAGAACTATATAACAGAGAATCACAGGAGTAAAAATAAAAACATATGAAGTCATTTTTACAGTCACTTGCTGCAATTTAACATTTCTTTATGCTTATCTATCACAGTGAATGTTTGGGCAGGGGATGGTTTTCCATTCTGCATGAGCTTAGAAGCAACAATACGCGTTTATAAGAGATACTGAGCCATAATCTTGGCACTCTACCTTAGGTACAAATTCTATAATAATTTCAATCCAGGTTTTAAGCAAATTAAGCACACAGTTCATGACAAGTTTACTCAGCTATCCGGTGTGATTACTGATGCAAATTAGGTGATTTTGTATGCCGTTACCGTAATTACCATTTTTAGATTCTGTTCATCACTGATGGATGCTGCTCCTGCAATGGCATGTATAAACTGACTATGAACTATGTATAAACTGACTGTCCCAATTGAACACAGGTATCTTAAAAGCTTTGGAATCGGTTATTGACCATATCTGCCAGTGGGCTTTGAGGTCTCAAACATCTTAAACTCCCATGTTTTGTGAAAGAGTTTACCTGGAGCAGGCTAGAGAGACTCAAATTAGTGTCTTGAGAGAGAGGGAGGCTGCTGAGAGCTCAGCTTTATTATTAAATAGCCAAGGACTTACATGAGGTAGTACGGTGTGAATATTTGAACCAGAGGAATGGTTTTACTCAGAGCTCGCGCTTTATTAGACGTGGGATAATCCAACAGGCTTCATAATTTCAGCTGTTCACAAACCTGTTTTTAAAAATTAAGAAATATTGGTTTGGGATTAAGACAGAAGGAGAATTCTCAGACTCTCAGCAATGAGAAATCTTCTGAAAACCTTATTTTTTTTTGTCTTCAGTTTGTCCCCCCGGCTTTTATGGACACCACTGCAGCCAGCCGTGCCCTCAATGCGTGCACAGCAGCGGGCCGTGTCACCACGTGTCGGGACGCTGCGACTGCTTGCCTGGATTCTTTGGCACTCTCTGCAACCAAGGTACTGAGCCCAAGACCCTCATGTGCCACCTCGGTTCCTCAGTTTCTGTGGCTGTGACTTTGCAGCAAGACTGATCACAAGGTTCCTGCCTTTTTTCCCCTTGTTTCAGCAGTTTAGATCACAAGAAATTCTTTCCTTCAGAGGGAAAATGCAAATAGGTACTTAGTCACCCTTTTGTAAATATGATGTGCTCCTGCTTTCATAAATAAAACAGGTCTGCTGCTCTGTATTGAAATGAATATGGAATGAGACACCTGCTGTAAATATATCAGCCATCCAATGGTTTCATTTTCCTTTCTGCTAAGCCTATCATGTCCTGAATGTGAAATTCTTTCCTTCAGAGGGAAAATGCAAATAGGTACTTAGTCACCCTTTTGTAAATATGATGTGCTCCTGCTTTCATAAATAAAACAGGTCTGCTGCTCTGTATTGAAATGAATATGGAATGAGACACCTGCTGTAAATATATCAGCCATCCAATGGTTTCATTTTCCTTTCTGCTAAGCCTATCATGTCCTGAATGTCGATGGCACCTCCACCCACTTTTTTCAGCAGTGAGGTGTAGATACTAGGTAAGGTAAAGGCCAGCTCAGGTACGCAAGCCCCAACACCCAGTTAACGCGTAGAACCTTACTGACGCTGTCTGGGAATAGCTAAAACCACGCGCGCTCAAACGCAAGTGCAGGAGACAGAAACATTTGCAATGAGGCGGTGAAAGTGAATTAATTTTCACAGGTGAAGAGTAGGTTCCACTCCCCCTAATGCCCGTCACCTTTCTGTGCCTTTGAAAGTTAGTCCACCTTTAACCATAGGTTTCATTTTCAGTTTTATCCTAAAAATGCCCGGAAAATCATGACAGTATTCTGCAGAGTCTCGGTTATTGCAGACTACTGGCGGGTATTTTTTCTACAGATTTAAAAGAGATTATTCCTAATGGCTACTGCCCTTGTGAAGTCACCATCCCTGTAAAAATTGAACTGACACTTTTTAATGACCTGCTTTTCAGTAAGTTAGAAATTGCAGACAGCACTTACGCAAAATCATTAAACATAGATTAAGTATAACCATGTTTTCTTTTTCCTGTGCTGTATAGTCAACTAAACATTATACCAATTAATTTATTAAAATGAACATATTTCTGTGAATTTGTCCATTTTATGTGAAAAGTTAGCCAGATTTCAAAGCGTAAGCAGGGCTAATTATCCTCTTAAGAAAACTATTTTATTTTTGCTCAGATGTTCAGCACTTCTGGTTTTACTTTGAAATGTTGATCTATCCAGCAAATTAATTTTAAAATATTCATGTCCTAATTAAAATCAATTTGTGTTGCAGTTTGTCATAATGAGTTAGCATGTAACTTTATTTTGTAGAAAGAAAAATGCTAATTAATTTTTTTCCATTGGAAAAACGTGAAACGAAGATTTCACTTTTGAATTTTCATCTCCTTGTGCCGGCTCTTTTCTGGCAGCGGGAACATTCTTCCATCAGCAGCACATGCATGCGAGGAGCTGCGTAACCCCCAAAATTGCACAGGTTGACATGGTTGCGCTGAGGATTCTGAGCGGCAAACGACTAAGCAGCTGTTTAATGAATATCTTTCACAATCACGTAGCAAGATGGATTGATAATAACTTGTTCTCGCTGCTAGAACACACCTGACATCCCACAGGGACTTTCGGAGCCCCACTTCAGAGCTTTTATAGCTAATTAACATCGCTATCTGCATTGTACAATCAGATTGCTCCCCAAGAAAGCAGTATTAGTCCTCACTTTACAGCTTTGTTTAAAAACATTTGAGACATCTGAAAAAGTGCTTGCATTTGGATCTTCCAACGTTACAAGAGAGTCACTGTGTCGATCCACAACCGGGTTATGAAAACCGATGAGCACAAACATTTTGGCAGGATCAGTTTTGCCGTCCCTCCGCGTTGACCTCCTGGCACCGTACCGTCTCGCTGAGACAAGAGGTGCTCCCACGGTAGGAACCCCTCTGCTGGCTCTCGCTGTGCGGAACCGAAGCATTTCTTTTATAAAGTAGGACCTGTTGCCTTTATCAGCATTGGTGTTTGGAGCACAGATCTTTTCCTCATTCATTAGTATTCCATGTTGCAGTGCAAATGAGCTCCAATTTTAAGTAAGTCTTTTGAGAACTATTTTTTTGTACATATAAAAAATCCAGCCTTCATTTAAGTGATGTGATCTATCTCCATCTTAAAGATGCAATAAAAATATTGCATTGAACTGCTTTATATAGAGTATTGGAACTGAATAATGGTGTAGCATATATGAGAACCTTGGCCAATAGATCATTTCAGTTTTTGCTCTTTCTGTGATACGAGGGATTTTCTTTCCTTCTTTCTTTTTCTCTTTGTGTCTGTGTATTGTTCTTTTCATTGTGTCTGTATATCGTGTTTAGTTTTATCTCTTTTCAGTTAGGGAACTATTCTGTTTAGCACTGTTATCCACTCCTACAGATAAGTCTGTAGTATATAGAAATGTATGCAGAAAACAATAGTATGTGCATTCCTAGGTTTCTGCCATAGTAAGAGTAGAGGATGGCATATTGTATAAAAGCAAATGAGTCACAGCTGAGGATTTCAATCTGTGGCTGATTCACAGTCAGGATAGATTGAGGTCACCTGCAGAGATTATATATGAGAAAGTGAGAGTGGCTGAAGTGGTAAAACAATTGCATAATTCAGGGAAGGGTCTTAATCAGTTTTTTGACATCACTATTATTTACCAGGATACAAGTCCAGGTCCATTTGTTACATCCTTTGCAAAGATGGACTGTATGTTTTATCTTGTTTTGAAAATACATCTGTTTTTGTCAGGGAACACAGCCAATAAGAGCACAGAAATTAAACATTTCATTCATTACTGAGCAGAGCTTTCCATCAACTTTAACGTTAAAGATTTCCAATAATTTGGTGGGAAGTTGAAGATCTACGTGTCTATTAGTTTTATGTCACCGTGCTTAGGCTGTTATAAGATGACTCTGAAAAAAATTTAGAGTTTCTTTTCTTCCAACTTAAGGATTAAGCTAGGTGGAGAACAGGAATAGACGCTGATTTTGTTAGGATGCAGCGCTTCTGTTTAACAGGTCTCAGTCAAACATATAGATATATATATATATAAAATCCTTGGAAACCACATTTGCAACCTAATTGAACACTTATTGCAGCAAGGGGTACTGGAGAGGAGTAGGTGGATGGATGCCAAAAGACAAGCATGACATTTCAGCAATTAGATATGTGCTGGAGTTGTCTTCCACCAGACTTACATGGTAAAAATACTTATGGAAGTGGCAGTCTTGCTCCTGGTTTACTCTTCGCTTGATTTGAATCTGGGAGATGCTGGGAGCCTGCCTCAAACCAACGTTGCTGAAAGCTGATCTTCAGCGAAACCTAGAGTATTTAGTAGCAAAGGCACCTTCCTCTCTCACCACCATTTGATCCAGAAGGAATCAGGACAGTGATGAGGTAGGTACTCTAACATACCTCATGTTGCACGATGCATTTTGTGGTGCTAGTGGGATGATAGCAAGGGAAAGGATTACAGCTCTTTCAGCCTCTTCTTGCAAGCTTATCTGCCATCAGCTGTTTCATGGACGCTGGCCTCCTGGGGCAATGCCCCTGGCTGGTATGTCAGGCCATCATACCAGGTTTGCAGCTTTTGGTCCATTATTACCGTCATTATCAGTCGTTCAATACAAGGGAGTTGAGGTTCTAGTGACAGACCTGAAAGTAAGAATCCCCATTGCTCCTCATCTTCTGTAGACTTCTTCACTAGGCTGATATTTAGCCTAAAATGTTCCTTTCCTGCTTTTGTTTCCTTACTGTTGAGGTTGTAATCCTCTGAGCCAGCGCAGAACCCTATTTCAGGGTTTGCACCAAGGGACCGCCTTGGCCAAGTCCCCAGATCGATCCCTTCAGCCACTTGTGCTTGCTACTACTCTGAATTCTCCTCGGCTTTACTGTTCTCTTTCTCTCCCAGTAACCTCTTTTCTCTGTTTTGTCTCTTCTTTTTTCATCCTTCCATAATGCCCTTCAATAATTGTAACCTTCTAACTGTATTAGATTCATTTTGCAGCAGAAAAATGGATTTTGTGACAACTTTTTCCAGATGTTTTTATGCCTGGAATTCTAAGCAAACAAAATGGACTTGAATACTTTCTGCCTTTTTCCTCTTTCCAGAAGAATTTTGCCCATTTTGCTTCAGCAAAGAAAAATGTCGTAATTACTTTTATCTCTAATTGCTAAATGTTAAGTCCTATGACTTCCTCATATGCGTTATGAAGAGCCTTCAGCAAACTGCCTGATATTTTCCACAGTCTGTCCCAGCGGCAAATACGGGAAGAACTGTGCCGAGGTCTGTCAGTGCACCGAGAACGGGACGTGCAATCCTATCGATGGATCGTGCCAGTGTTTTCCAGGCTGGATAGGGACAGACTGCTCTCAGAGTAAGCAAAGTGTTATTTTTCCACCTCTGCTTTAAAATAACATATTTTCCTCTTTAGTGTTTTCTGAAAGTTAAAGACAGATTCTGGGGAAATCCCTGAAGTATTACAGCAGCCAGCGCCTTACTCTCTTTATAGCTTATTTCTTTTAATTAATCTAAGTTAGCGTTGGCTTGAATTTGTTTCTGCATTTGGAGTTTGCAGAAGCCGTTACTAGTTTCTATTACAGGAAAGGGAGGTCACAAGCTCTTATCAGAAAAGAAAGCTCCATGCTCCCTTTTAATTTCTAACTGGATTCCCTTTTATTTATTTTTTTAAATCATTTTCTTTCAGCTATTACTTTAGAAATTATTAACCAGTAAATGTTTTCATGTACCGAGCCCTTAGAATTGAGAAATTAGGCAGCTGAAATATTTCTATTAAAAGTAATTTAATTGTAAAAGTCAATGTGGGCTTGGAGGGATGGAGGATTTCTTCTTGAAAATTGCCCAGGTAGAAGATTGGCATTTGCTGATCCCAAAGTGTCATTTCCTGAGAGCATCCCTTAATTGAAGATAGATCACAGAGGGAAGCAATATCCGATCATTCAGAAATGTTACTTCATATTCAGGATACAACTAGCATATTAGACAGCATTCCAGAGTAAAATATATTAAACTTCAAGTGATAAAGTAGGAATTGGATAAAAACAGACGGCTGTAATTTTGCTTTTATTGTGTGTCTTCCACAGGCAGAATATTGCTGTCACTCAAAAATAGGAAAAAAAAAAAAAAGAAAAGAAAAAAAGACAGAAAGCTCCGCAGATTCCTCATTATATTTAGCCATGTAATTGGGAAATGACTGTTAGTTTCTGTTAACTTTGAAAAAAGATGTTTTTTCTTACAGAGTGAGGCAGGCCAGTTCAGCAGCAACAATTTCCAGCTTAGCAGGCAGAAGGACCTGGCGATAGCTGCTTTGTAGTTTGGACGAACGAAGTGGGAACCTGACTGTTTCCTCAGTTACCTTCTCGTAAAGAAAGTGTAAATCTCCCAGCGTGAACCTGGCCTCACACCAGGCTCCTGTCGGAACCTGGCCTCGCGTACCGGAGGCTGGTACTGAGCTCTTTCGCTCAGACCTCCCTCTGCACACCTTCACCTGGAATGACCGAGAGACGGAGCTGCAAAGGAGATAATTTTAGCTCCAACTCCAGAGCCGGTTCTGGAGCCACTGACGGACCCTGCAGCTCTGGCTTGCATTGTAGGAGTATTTCTGGTTGCTTATAGCATGAATGCTTTAGGCCAAATCGTGTTCAGCTTTATATCGTGTGAGTTCAGTGACCTTTTGTTGGATTTACGTCATGGCAGGGCTTTTTCTTTTGCTTTTCATACTGGCTTTAGAGATGTCTGTCATATGCCAGAAACTTGCATTTATCGTCAGAATTGGAGCCAATGGCATACATGGAAACAGGCACGGTTTCTGTGCTTTCAGGTTTCCTGGGAACCATGCCTTATTAATTCATGTCTTTAACAGGAAGCAATGGAAAGTGCTTTTTAAAGCAAAAATATAGTTGTTATATTGAAGGGTTATCATCATTTTGGATCTTTTAGTCTGGCACTAATAACTGTAACTTACTGCATTCATTTTTGGAGGCAAGCTTAAAATAACTTTTGAAAATGTTTTAATATTGTACTTGTTGAAATATATAATAGACCTGGAGATTTTAATTTAATATTAGCCCCATCAACAAAAGCAATCTGATTTTGTGGATGGGAATTCATACTGTAAGAAGTTTTCTTTACATTTTTACCTAATTTTGAGTAGCACTCTATGCTTCAAATGAATGTGGTAATTTTAGTAGTTGATTGCATAGCAAAAGTAAACCATGAATGGCTGTGCTTTATTATGCAAGAAGCCCAGAATATCAAAAAGAAAATTAAATTACCTCCGTATCTTAAAACCCTGTCTAAATTGACTTCACAGATAATGCCGGTAAGGCAGGGAGAGTGGCTAGAGCACTCAGAGTAACGTAGTGTCGAGGGTCGCTGGTTCAGTGGTTCTCAGGGCACGTATGCAGCAAAGACCTGATCCTGCCACCCGACCTACGCGGGGAAGGAATCCCTCGTGCCGGGCCTTGACGGCGTGGGTGACATTGTGGGTTGGCGCCTGGGTTTGCAAAGCAATTGTTGGCTTGGAAGAACCGGTCATTGTCAGGGAGTCGCCGCAGCGATGCCAAGCTCTGCAATGCGAAGTTCTGCCTTTGCTGGTGTCTCACAGGTTCTCCCTTTATTGTTCCTCCGCAGCACTAACGCAATATCCTTGCTTTTTTTTTTTTTTGTCAGCTGACAAATCTTTTTTATTTTCATAGCTTGTCCCACTGGTTTTTGGGGCCCTGATTGCTTTCATTCATGCAACTGCCACAACGGAGCAATGTGCAGCCCTTACGATGGAGAATGTAGATGTACTCACGGTTGGACGGGGCTCTACTGCACTCAGCGTAAGCCTTTCAGGGACACTGTTGTGCCAGGGAATCTGTCAAAGTATGTGCTGCTACCTCGTGTCTCTTCCAAGTATTGCAGTGTTCCCTGTTACACCACCTGCTTCTTTCTTGGGATAACTTCAGAGCACCCCGGAGAAAATAGTCCTGAAGCTTTTCAAGGTTTTTTTTATGCCTTTGGCACTCGATAGAGGGACCGTTGATTTAGATTATTGATTCATTGTCAGAATTTGCACAGTCCGCATCCCTGCTTGTTAAAGCCCCAGTTTCTGTGGTCCGATTTAGGAAAATGTTTGAGATTTCTCATCCTACCAGTGCCGAATTATCAGCACTGTACGGAAGAGGAGATCAAATTCTGGTGAGCCTTTTAAGAAGGCTCTTTCGTTTGCAAGTAATTGATTGATCTCTGGCCTTTTAGAGCATTTCTGTTTAGCCATCTTCTTTCACTTCTTGAAAATGTAGTCTGTATAGATGGGTCAAGTTTTCGTTCTTCTGAAACACTTAAGAGGCAATTCTGTAAGATATGAGAAACACTACTTCAAGAAAATTGGCTGTCACAGTATCTCTGCATTTAGATGACCAAATAAATGTTATTAAATATACAGAGGCTGAAAATCCATAGATTTATAGGCCTACATATTTTGTGCTGATAACACATCTGAGTTTGTGTTTCAGCTTATTTCTTAGTCTTTCCTTATTCTGATTCCTGAAAGGTTGCCCAGCTGCTTTTTATGGAAAAAACTGTGCCAATGTTTGTCAGTGTCAGAACGGAGCGGACTGCGACCACATCACTGGCCAGTGCACGTGCAGGACTGGATTTACAGGCAAACAATGCGAGCAAAGTAAGTAGCAACGTGACTTCACTTTTCTGTTTCTCCGGGGGTGGTGTATTTCAGAATTCTTTGCAGAAACAGGCTCTTAAATGAGGCGTTGATGTCAGCAAGACGGTAACCCCAGGCACCTTATATAATCCATAGGGAGAAGAAGGCATCTCTGGAAAGCTGGACAGTCTGTTTAAACATAAAGAAACATAGCGAATCCTCTGCAAATCAGGCCTTTCCATTCCCAGCCTAAAGTTAGGTGAGATAAAAGCAAGTCCCTGCACTCAGTGCTTCCCCAACAACTTGTACCTAATTAATAGAAAAACACAAGCTGCGTCATGCCTTGCTAACGCTGTTGAGAGCAGCGGATTCAGGTTTCCCTAAACACGAAGGAAGACAGAAAGGTTAAAAGGAAGAAGTCCCTTCTGCTCTCTGCCATCCAGGTATTGGGGCTTGCTTGCTTGCATAAGTTGTTATGCTATAGACGTGGACCAAATAAAAATTTGTCTTTGCAATGAGAAGAGAGCAAGGAAAAAAAAGTCACTTGCCAGTTTTGGAAGGATCTGTGTTTAACTTGAGTAGTGAGCGAGTGTTTAACAATGAACTTCAATTACCTTGCAAGGGTACTGGCATAGCTTACTGTAATTGTTGTGGATGTCTTGCTGGCATATTTAGCATGCCGTGCCAAATGGCTTCTTTTAAGAACGAAGAATTAGGGTAGTGCAAACTGTACGTGCTGTAGTTGAATAATTACTTGTTTGTCCAGTATAGTAAATCAAAAGAAAATTCTCACACACTTACTCAGATTCTAAATGCAGGGTGAAATCTGTCTCACCTCACCACAGCACTAATTCCACAGGGTTTCATTCCTTTTTTTGGCGGTAAGGTTATACAGTAACATTCATGCTAGATTTGCAAGTGAAAGCTTCTGAACTGGGGCTTACTGCATGGATCTTTATGACAGTATCTGTACATATAACTGAATTCAGGAACATCTTTTCTTTTGCACATACTTGCATTCAGCAAAGCATGTATCTCGGGACCGAATTTGCACGCTCACGTGGGGGTTACCTACGGCACCACTGTAACCCTGTAAGCGGCCAACTTACTGTGACTTTGTGTCACCTCTACTGCAACCGTAAATAAAATAGGAAACTAAAAAGCTCCGTAGTCAAACTACAAGAAGCTACATTTATAATTTGGCCTCTGTACAAAGCCTGAGGCTTTCTTCTCTATCCAGACTACGAATGTACTTGTTTGTTTGTTTTTCTTCTACTTAATCTAAAAGCATCTCTTCATTAAGACTCCT